CGGTTTGGCGAGTTCTGGGGTAATTTGGCTAGCGTTGCAGTTGGGGGAACGAGCTGTGCCGCTCGAATTACCCCAGCAAACAGGTGATTGAAACACTGCTGCCGATAGCATGGTAAACTCTAGTTTTCTTCTCCTTGGATACACGGATCCTTTCTCAAAGAATTTTATTGGGACTGTTGCAGAATCCCTCCTTTTAGCAATAATAGGAGCTGTTTCCTGTATTTGCCATTTGTTTCTCTATGCAGATAGGTGTTTATGAGCCAGAAGTTGTTGCTCCTTGTTGCAATATGTGGTCCAGTTGTTATCCGCACGCTAGACTGTGTTGTAAAGAGTTTCAGAGTCTTCTTACCATTACAAGATGCCAAGTAACGGGAACAATAATTTTTTATTTTAACTCCAAAACAATGTAGCATGGCTAAAAAGTCTTGTTTTGCTACAGCGAAACGTCAGTTATCTTCCGTGAAAATGGCTTAGAAATCACAATGATTTTCCAGCCAAGTTTACCAAATGGACCATATTTTGCCGTTTGGAATCACTATCTTTGGATCAATTCAGAAACAACGTATGCGTGTCTAGTCCCTTGTTCAGAAATACGGCTTTGGAGTTAGGAGAGTTGCAGTTGGTTAATCTTTGCTAAATATAGTCCAAAGCTACTGAAATATTCGTTCTTAATTTTGAAAGAGGAGCATCTAGACTGTTCGAACGGTGCACAATTAGCCAAATTCGACTACCATCAGCCTAAAAAATTTCAAGTCACCCAATTTCTAATTTTTCCCCCAACACCAATCTTTCACATATGTAGGGTGGAAATCCAAAATCTCGCGAAAGCCTCGGTGCTGCTAAAAACGCGCATGGTATTCCTCATTGTATAATTTGGATTGATTTTTTGGAGAAACATTTCTCTAAATTTTCGTCTTATTTTCATGGCAATGTTCAGCTCAGGTCTATGACCTCTCCTTCCATGATAGAAACAGTCGCACAACCTCAAAAATATCTGGTGGCGCTGAACAGGTTTTGAACTTCCCATTGCTTATTTATGCAGTGTGTTAAAAAAGTTCATGAATTGTTGAAAGTTCCGATTGCTAAGTTCTTAAACATTCAAAACAAAAAATGAATTACGTTCGCTGAGAAAAAACTGTGGTTAAAATTACCATATTAGTGGTGTTCAATAGGCCCTCTTAATTAGTAGTGGACATAACCAATAATAGTGATATTTTTACTGGGGCAATCGTAATTTTACAAGTGTGCGGTAGTAAAATTACCATTTAATGATAAAAAATATATCTATCATTGGTTATGGCAACTACTAATTAAGAGTTCATACAGAACACCACTAATATGGTATTTATAACCATAATTTTTTCTCAGTGTTCGTACGTAAAAATTCAAAACACAAGAGCAATGTGGCAACGTTTAATGCACTTCTGGTTAATGCCGCTAACCATAAAAAAGTTTGATTGACATGATCATATCTAATATTCCCGAGGAAAAATTCACAAATTCTGCTGAATTTCGGCAACATCGACGTCGATTGAGCCGTTGATTAGAGCTCACCGAAGCGTCATCCGCGATCCCTGTTTGATACGTTGTTGATGAGGAATTAGGCTGTTCTCACCCACTAATGTCGGCCGTGCTGCCGAGCTCTCAACCATCTCATCGGAAAATTTACACCTGATAGAAATACTACCTTCCATACCTTATCCATCCCAATCATTGACTATCAATACATTTGGAAAACAGTTCTTGTGAAATTTGCAAATCAACGTTTTTGGCAAGGGCTGTTTCCTGCTTATTCTAAATTTATATTTAGTATCTATTTAATAACTTCTCAATGGAATTTATTTAATTTAAGTGTAAATTTGACAACCCTCTGATCAAACAGGTTGAATGCCTGTCTCAATATTTACCTCAAAATAAGACTGGCATTGCCAACGGGCGGATTACACGCTAAGATTTGCTGCAATAGCCGCTTGCGGTGTTGTTAAATTGTTTCTTTAAACCTAAACAGAATCTTTTTATATTCAAGGTAAAAAAATTTTTATGTGTGTATTACAGATTAATCCTAGAGTCATAAAAAAGCTCATATTTCCTAAAAAACCTTTAAAAAAGCGTTTCATAGACAAATGAACACAACTATGTTTCGACGTAGCGAAATTATCTTTCTCAATCTGTAATTCTATCAGAACACTGTTTGGCATTGCTGACTGAAAGTTTCAGTGATTCTCGTACGAATATACGGGGGCAAATATCGTCAATAATGTAAATTATTAAAGGGAAGAGGGTATCCACTTGGTGGAGTGCAAAAATGGGAGAATCTTGTTACGGAACACATCAGCGATCGATGATTCTCCTTCAATTGATTCAGTAGGCAAAATGGGTTCCCAGGAGTTCTAATAGTGGTATCATAAACGACCATCGCAAGCAATCACAATATATGACACCTAGATCCACAGAAAAAATGTAACCATGGATTTCAGCCGGCGAATTGTAACGTATTTTCACCGCTGAAGCCGAAAACGATATAATTTTTTTCGAACAAACAAGCATTTCCATGCAAGAAAATATGAGGAGGAGAAATAAGATTTTCGAGGGGATATTCAATTTTTGGAACAGTTGTACGCACTGAGAAAAATCGTAGGTCCGTTCTTGATATACTAGCCCAAAATGCGTAAAAATATCTCAACAACATGCTTCAGGACTCTTCCTTCTCTTTTGATAATGCGGTGCTCTCGGATAAGCGACAAAATTCGCCCTATTCACCGATCACCGAATGCCTTTTTCGCCTCCACAAAGAAAATTAAAATTGTTTTCTAAATTGCCGACAGTGAGTGACGCATGGTGATGTAATTTTCGCTGCTGGATAATCGAAGTAAGGCGGATGTTTCAAGTATCTAATGATTTTTCAGATAATCAAAGCCTCTAAAAAGTTCAAGAAATGTATTTAATCAAAAATTCAATTTTTCCAAATAGAAAATTGGTAGGTAATATGGAGAAAACGAGGTTTTTCTCAACCTCAACAGCAAAATATGCTTATGAGCAGCTCTGTACATATTTGGAAAACAAGCTTCATCTCCTTCCACGTTGCAATACAAACTGATTTGTAAGACAAACATTGGCTAATTAGGCATTTCTGTAACTTTAGAAATCACGTCATCAGGAATAAGGGTGAAGATAGTTTTTAGGCTTTCCTGCGCATTTTGGGTTTTGAAGTAAAAAACAACCTTGTTTTTGTTCTTAACATGCAACGATACGCGGAAGGAAATCGCCACGGTACGTCTAATTTTCTCCGTTAAATTTTCTTTTTTGGGAAATTTTTGCGTGTTTGAGAAAAATTATATCGTTTTTGGATTCAACGCTGAAAACATGTTTAACATTACCAGTTGGCATACTTTGCCCCATCGTTGCCGTGGATCTACTTGCCATGTATTAAGATTATTCAGGGACGGTCTTTTTTGATACCACTATTCGAACTCCTAAGAACCCATTTTGCCTATTTAATCAATTGAAGGAGAATCTTCGCCCACCGGTGATCAATTAGTATCATTTCAGCGAACGCTTAAGCTTCCATGTCTCCTTCTCAAGTGACATGGGACGTTAACATACTACGTCACGAACTATTTCCTTTTTGTATACCTCATCTCCTTCTCCTAATGTCACCGATGTCAGCAATTTCATGTGTGCTCGTCACACGCTCGAATTCCCATCAATTTCCGATCAAATGGTGACTGGTGCACACCATCTACCATCAAACTGCGGCCTGCAAAAATTTGATGGTAGATGATGGAGCTGTGGGGCTCATCCTTCATCTGATTTCCACACAACCGTGCTTATTTCATGCTTTTTTCAATCAATACGCTCTTTTAATTAATTTTACACATCAATCTAGATAACTCTCGACCGCCACCTTGGTCATTATTTTGATCGGAATTTGACGGAAATTTGAGCGTGTAATTAGGCCAATAGGATTCAAGGCAATAGATCGGAAAAATTGCTCCGTGAGTTGAATATCATGAAAAATAAGTACACAGTATTCGATCGCGAGAAGTTACCTTTATTCACGAAGCTGAATATTTCCGCTCCAAATCGGCAACAGCATCGGGTGAGCTCAACGCTTGACCGCACCCGGATGAGCAAACAATACCGCACTCGGGCTCATCGATGAGTGGCCGATTACTGTTGCTTAGTCGGGGCCGAAGAGTAAACAACCAACAAGGAAGCCGGGATGCGGAAAATGACTGCACACCGTTCCGGAAAATCCACCAAGGGGTTGTTCCTCTCATTTTTCGGCCGGCATCCCTCTCGAACAATGGCTATCCACTTCCAATCAAAAAGTGCGATGGTCATTAAGTGCGAATTCAGCGGAGTGTATGGTTCTCGTATTTTCGTGCTTTTGAAGGGAGAAAATGCTGTATTCAAATGTTTCCCCGATGGTTCCTCGGACTGCATTTTGCAATGAGGAGCCACTATTTCTGACTTATTCATGGGAAAATCTATCTTTGTGGGCGAACTTCCAGCACACGAGTAGTGTCAAAAATGAGCCGGAAATAGTGGCTCGAAATCGCAAAACATAATCTATCCTTGCATATTTCAAAGTTTTTGACCATATGGATCAAGTCCAACGGAGAGGAGAGGAATCAATTACTTTTTGCAAAGAAAGGGTAAGAGGGTTTTTTGCATAGAAGAACTCCATAAGCCGCACCATCTAGTTGGTGCTATTTAATTTATATCATAATAAATACATTGGCATCGATGCACCAGAGATTATATAGAAGAAATTTTTTTTCAAATTTTTAGTAAGAAAAAGTGAGATCGGAATTATGTGGTGAGAATGTTGGTGACTTTGATGAAAAATAATAATCATCACGAAACTTTTCAGGATATCTAAAATCTCGTAACCATAGGAACCTCCGCAGATGTAACGCCCGCTCCTTCCAAAAAGAAAACCCATATCAACAAACATCGTTGGCGCATCTTGAAATAGTTGACTGTTGTAAATTGGAGTTTTTTGGTTAGGGGTCCATTCAATTCCAAAATTACCATTAGAGCGCAATAAATTCTAAAATAAGTGATATTAATTATCCTTTCTTCCGTTGTTTGATAAAGTGATTTCCAGGCCATTTTTTTATGCAGCGATAATCCGTTTCTATCACGAAGAGTGAAAGTTATATTCATAAATATTTTACAAAGTATGTTTGTGCAGTAAAGAAGAAAGTAAACAATGCTCTGCTTGACTTTAAAATTCATCCTATCAGTTTGTGACGTTATATTTCGACAAGTTTTTTTGAGCTCCACGTTATTAGTTTTTTAAATCCGTAATGTATACCCATTTCAAGAGAATATAAAGAAATTCTACGTTGGTGAAACGTAAGTAAAATATAAGTAGTTTATCATCAGTATGTGCAGATATTTGATCCGCAACATGTGCAAATATTTTATGCGTTATTACGTTACATGAAACACAGAGCTGCCAAAACATTACAGCGTTGTAAATATTGGCCTTTGTAAACGTATGAACCAATCATTTTGGTTTTTAAAGGAACAAAAACTCTTCATTATCATTTTAATTAGCTTTTACTATTCAAACTTACTCTCACGTGTCCAGTACGGGTCGATTTGATCGAGGAAGACACATTCCCCGCGGGGTTTATGGGGCCGATACACATGAACTTTCGATTAAGTCTAAAAATACATCGTACATAAAGAGTCGTACATTAAAGAGAAAATCGAGTGTTTGGGATTTTTTTGAACAACTACACAGCACACTTCGCAAAGCACAACAAACCATTCCCTACATAAAATCTGATAGAGCGAGAGGACAGACAGGTATAGAGAATAGGAAATGCATTTGGGCTTATTCTGGTTAAATCTGTCCGTTTAAAAGGCAACTTTTATACACAAGTAATTAATTAAAAAAATAAAAACGAAAAAATATATAAATGAGGACTTTAATATAACAATGGCGGATGTGAAAAATTACCTTTTCGAAACAAGTTCAAAAAACTGTTTTGGCATCGAGAAAATTTTGAGAAAATACTTGGGATGTGATTTTCGAGATCTGTACATTATATCAGAGCTGAAAATATTAGATTTTTGTGTGACCAAAACAGTTTTTTAGGCGTGTTTCGGAAAGGGAATTTTTTGCATCCGCCATTAATATATATAAAGCCTCATATGCAATTATTAACAAAATTATTTGAATCAGTAATAATTCATAATTTCACAGGAATTGATTCAGCATGACCAGCGACTATGGTTGTCGTTTCTCACCACCAAACTGAAAAAATCGTCCTGAAGTTGCTCCTGAAGTACTATCATCCGCTTCAAAATGGGTTGGTTCCGAAATCTCATGTTCAAGATACCTGGCTGGTACGGGGTGTTCGGCAATTGGGTGCCGACGGCCGCCTTGGTATGCGGTGGAATAGTTTGCGTAAGTGAATCCACCTCTTCAATCATCGAAGTTCAGTCTCGACTGCCAATCGGATTGCCTGTGACTTTAATGAATGGACCACTATAATCCGTTCCATTTCGGAGTGTACTTGGCTAGCTGACAATTAGTCCACTCAGTTGCGTTACCACAAATATCCCTCATTGTTGGCCGAGAGACCAAAAAAGCCCTGCCTCTTTTCCTCTCGATGAGCCTTAGAGACTTTTTTTTAAAGAATTATAGAGTCTTCCTCTTTCTAGTATTGGGACTAAACATTTTAAATACAGAGGAAAACAAAGAGAACGTAAAAACAGCCCGAAACGGAAACGACAATTGAAAACACAAGAAAAAGTGGAAACAATGCTAAAATACAAAATACAAAGGCAGGACGTTTCGGTACCTTACGGCACCATTATCAACTGCTAAAATAGAATTAAAAATAAAAAAGAAATTAAAATAAAAACCAGCAAATCGGTAAATGCGACTGCCTTCTTCTTTTTTCTTTTTTCTTTTTTCTTCTCTTTTATTTTTAATTCTATTTTAGCAGTTGATAATGGTGCCGTAACTAAGGTACCGAAACGTCCTGCCTTTGTGTTTTGTATTTTAGCCTTGTTTCCACTTTTTCCTGTGTTTTCGATTGTCCTTTTTAAATACTCATAATGTCGTTATAATTTCATCTCGGAATGAGATTCAGACAGGATTTGTTCAGCAAAATGTCTAAAAAGCGAAATTGCAGAGTCTTAACGAATTTTGAACGGTGCGTCTGACACGTAGAAATTAAGGCGTTGGGTGCAAAAAGAGCATTTCTTGGTTGCAGCGTTTCAGAATCTCCTCTGCTGATTTATACTTGAGAGAATTATTCGGCGAAGTTTTTGAAATGTTTAGTTCTTAGCGTTGTAAAATCTTAAAGAAAATCCAGTACGAGTTTGAAGAAATTCCATGCATTTGTTTAAAATTTAATGTATGAAACGTTAGCAAAGATCCCGAGACACCGCAATCAAGAAACGTCCTTTCTGCACAAAGCGTTTCAAGCTCAACGATTAAACCGCGCACTGTGCTGTGCGTGCAATGCGTGAAGTATTCCTGTGACCGATTGCGCAATGCGAGAAGTATTCTTCCAGTCTTGCAGGCGCTACTATGCGCGTGACGCTGGCCGCACTGTGTTTGCCGCATTATTCGAACTAGTCTTTGCATAATTGCGGCATCGAATAATGGGCCTTTAGCCCATGTTGTTTTTCGACGCCGTATGAGCATTCCAACGTTGCCTCATGTCTCCCGATTAAATATTTTTCCCGAGAAAATTTAGGAAAGTTATCCATGCTCGCTCATTCAGATTGAATGGACCTGCATTAAAGACTGTACAAACTGAAGCACTCTGATATATGATTATTCTCCAGAATTTCACGTAGAATACGAATCGTGCAACGAAAACTACCGAAATTAACTTCTATGACCAAGATTATAACGTTTTTATTGTACATTTGATATGGGAAATTTGAATTTCCCGGTCACAAGAAACACAATACCCTACGTCATTCAAATCGTGCACCACAACGGCTTTGGCAGACTACTCAATCGAACATTGTTTCTTTCCCACCCTGTTTTGTTCAAAGTGTGTACAGCGTGCCATATATGAGTCAAAGTGTTAAGATTGAGGTTGCCATATTTTCTTATTGCTGAGACTGTCATAGCGACGTTTATTGTGCAATGTAATTTAAACCCAAGTAAATTATTCTTTCCTCCATGAGGGGAAAGTTTGAATTTGCTTATAAAAAACTTCATTACCACGGTTAGGAGTTAATTTAGGGTTAGGATTTTGATCGCTGGACGGCGAGCGATCGGAATCCTCGTTGCAGCGACCGAATGCAAAAGGATATCTGTTACAGATTGACGTAACATGCAACGTCAGTTACGCGATGTTCTATTGTCCATCTCGCTGATTCCAACCGAACCAACTGAGTGCTATTGTCAAATTTAAATATTATTGACGGTTCACTTCATCACGATTGCGTTATGCCAAAGCATAACTCATTTAATGACTTCGTAAAAATAAGTACATAAATATTTTTCATTTACACTTTCATTGCAAGAATCATTTGGAAGCACTGTACCAGTGTACCACCTTCATATGAATACGTGGCGGTCATGTGTACAATGGATTCATCAAACTGCGATGTACAGGGAATGATGTATCCACCAAATCAGTCTATTCCTTGTCAGTCTTGGGATTGACGCGTTCAATCTGGAGATGATACCATTGTATCATCTCCAGATTGAACGCATAAGCCCCTAGACTGACAAGGAATAGACTGAGTATTTAAGAGGTTGGGGGGAGGGTGGGCTAGACTTTCTCTCCGAGGCTAAAAAAAACTTCTCAAGTGCTTTTTGAACATATTTTGCTAAAGAGACAGAGAATATGTGCGGGCTGTATGATTGTTTTACATCGCGAAAGACGAAATTAATCATCAGTGAAAATTATATCCTGTCTCATTTGGCTACCACTTAATTTAACGTGATTGTTGCAGCTAGTCCAATTCTACTACATGTTTTGGATAGACAGACCATTGTATGAAGATTTTGCCGATTTCGAATTGCTTTACGGAAGATACATCTGTGAGTATTAAAGTTCTCTAACGAAGATGTACTTTCGTTGATTCATGAGCTTTTGATCTAGTAGGATGTGAATAGATTTTAGAAATTAATCCTCGGGCTGAAATGTGAATTTTTTAAGCTACTTATTCCATCTTTCGTCTTCTTCTTTGAGAAACTTCATCGCTTTAAAATCCAAAATAGTACTTTACTAAGGTCTTTACAGTTTCTGATTTGAACATGAACATATAAGGCCTTATATGTAGCGATGGCGGATGTGAAAAATTACCTTTTCGAAACACGCTTAAAAAACTGTTTTGTTCTTACAAAAATTTAATATGTTTGGCTTAGGCATAATGTATAGATCTCGAAGATCACATCTCAAGTATTTTCTCAAAATTTTCTCGATTCCAAAACAGTTTTTTGAATGTGTTTTGAAACGGTAATTTTTTACATCCGCCATCGTTACATATAAGTCCTCTTATGTCAAAAAGATTACAAAGTTTCAAGTTTTGCTGATAACCGGAATGATAAACTTGGGGCCTTCTTCAGAATCGTTCGTTTGAATGAAATGCTATTGTAAGAACAGGTGAATAGACCACTAGACAAGGTACGAATTTCAGCATTCTGATACATGTTTCTTAACCAAAATTTCACGTAAAATACGACGCACACAACGAAAATTACCAAAAACAACTCCTTCCAAAGATATTTAATGATTCTTGATGCGTGAATTCAAACCACCCGCTGATGAAAACTCAATACTCTGCGTGATTCACATCGCGCGCTAAACGTTATCATGACAGTCTCTGCGATGTAAAAATCTGGCAACCTCAGTCTTGACGCTTTGGCTCAGCTGTAGCAAATTGCTTATAGTTTGAACAACACATAGTGGGAAATGAACATTACTCAGTTGAGAAGCTTGCTGAAACTGTTATCGTGCGCGATTTGACTCACGTAGAGCTTTGAGTTTCTTGTCAGCGGGCAGTTCAAATTCCTCGTGACCAATGTGAAATAAAAACGTTAATATCTTTGTTTGGAGTTTGTTTCAGTAGTTTTCGTTGCGCGAATCGTGCTTTACGTGAAATTCTGGTTAAGAAACATGTATCAGAACGCTTAAATTCGTACCTTGTCTAGTGGTCCATTGCATTCGGCTATGAGAAGTTTTTTTTTTTTTTTTATTTTCTCAAAATTGTTTCTTTATTTTTCAGTCCCGTCCTGGGTGTGGCTTGTCTCTCTTGCTCTGGACACTGTACTCGGCGTTAAAGCAATTTGGCTCATTATATCTATGTGGAGGGTAAATAATTTAATCACTAATTCACTATTTGATTTTATTACAAATTTTAAAATCCTCAACCAGAGGCAATTATTACCGGCAAAATCTTGTAGGTTGGTTGGATCGAAGAAAAAAAAATTGCCGACCCTTCTTAAAAAAATTATTGATGATTACACCACAAAAGAAATGCAGTTGATTTAACATTCTGGAGGTAAAAAAAGTGTGCAAGAACTTACAAAATACTGAATTACTCGCTACTGCAGTCACTTCAGCAATGCCAAGATGTAAAACTAACCGCTGCGGTGGGTAGTTATCAGCATTTTATTAGTTCTTGCTCACTTTTTTTACTTCCAGAATATCAAATCAACTTCATTTTTTTTTTCGGTGTACTTTAGTTCAACTTACAGTTTCTTAGCCCAGTTTTAAAGCGAATTTCGACCTCCCTCGAACTTACAAAACTTACAGCTCGAAGCTGTCGTTGTGTAAAATATTTTTTTGTGATTTCCAAAAAAACCTGGTTCGAACTTGATACAATGCTGAAAGTGGCATACAAGTCAGATTTAATGTTATGATACTGAAATTCTGTCCCCATTTACCTTATACAATACCTTTACTATATCATATATTGTGACTACTTCCACTCTACCTCGATCCTCTAATAGAAAAGATTCATTCCATCTGAATGTGTTCACATGCTCTGGACACCTGGATTTTTATCGAGGGGACTGATTAGTAGATGTAATAAAAATGTTTTTTCCCCTTTCTCTTTATTTCTTTTAAACTGTTTCTCTGAAACTGATATGAATCCGAAAATTTGAGGCTTGGATCAAGACTTCCAATTTACCGCAACACGCAGGAAAACACATTGTAGCCTCTCAGACGTAAGGGTGTATCTCAATTTGCACGTGAGCCCTGTCTTACATACATATCCATGCTTTCTGGGGCTCATGCGGAAATCGAGTTACGCCACGAGAGCGGCGATTTGTTCATTCTGCGTGTATTTTTATTTTTCGCGGTTGCTTTCAGTGTTCGGAGAAGGGGGTACGGAACTTTGTTCTCGTATATCTAAGTGTCTACTTGTACCACCTCAGCCACTGGGTCTGGTTTGTCATCGGATGGGCCACGAAAGGAAAACAAAACTCTCGATGGAACCAAAGCAAGTTCGGAAGACCGTCGCTCGATCGCGTTAACATCATGCTCCTTGTATGGTTAGGTAATGTATCCATGGATAATTAAAAATGAAAAATAAGTTTTGCGGGCCATTTGCGAAACCTGTATACGTTAGATTTAAAGCTCCATTAAGTTTTAGAACAATAGTATGATACTTACGAACAGGTTACAAGTTTTCATAATTAACGCCGAATTTTCATGTTTCAAACATACATTTTTCTTTCGGATTTATTTTTTCTCTCTTTAACCAGCCGCACGGAAAGAAGAGAAATTTGACCCCACTTTTTGCTGATTATGTGTGACCTGTTCTGCATGGTTGCATTAAACCTTTCTTTGAGGGTGCTTATAATTTTTAAAGCAGATCTGCTTGAAAATGGCATGATTTGGCTCGTTATATTTTGTTTCAGGTAGTTGCTAAAATCAAGAAAGATTATGATTAGAACAATGAATATATTTGTTTAATTGTTTTGTGTGTGATTGGCATTCCATTTTATTCCAGTTGAACTTTATTTTGCAATTAGGAACTATGATTCCTGGCTCATCCGTAAAAACACTTATGTTCATGGGGAAAACTAATGGCACGTACGTTGTTTCAAATCTGAAGAATCTATAGTTCCGCATTGAAGAATGTAATCCAATTGTAGATAGGGTCGAATTGGAGGCGCAACAAAATTTTGCGTTTAGCGGGGCAGATAAATTATTTTTTTCTTTTGTAAACAAATGGGCTCTTAAGAACACGATCTTGTTACGTGCAATGCTGATATCGGCTGGAATGCTAGCTCGAAATTTAGTGTTTCGCCGGTTAATTCTCAAATAGCATTTTATCACAGGCATACTGACAATGAGGTGAAAATCTAACCCCTGGAATCTCAATGAGACCAAAACTTAAAGTTCAACCATGGAATGTAAGCTCACATATCGATGGCCAAGGTACAAAACCATGTATCTCCGTTCGCGACACCCCAGACTTCCTGTCATGCTTTATGCATTTCAAGCTATAAAATTGACGTGTTTCTCTTCCAAAAAGTGAAAAAGGCGGACATTTTGAAATACCACATTAAATTTCGTACTTCATCCATCGATATCCTTCTTCAAAAGATAGCCTCTAATGCTTATATAGCTGATCAATCCCGGAGAAATATGAAATTGCTGCTGTAACAATTTTATAGTTAAAAAAAGTATCCGACACGTTCCTATGTAGATGTTACAAAAAAAAATGCTAATTTAATCACAGAGGTAGTTAAATTAGCTTTTCACTATTGTAAAATGTTCATTTGAAACATGTTCGACGTATTTTTTTGACCATTTAATTGTTAAATCAGCAATCCATTTGTTCCCGTGATGTAGTTAGAAGTGTTCACTGGAAAAAGAACACATTAGATCTAGAGTCCAGACTCTTAAAAACATCGATAAGAAAAAGTACTCTTGATTCAATCAGAATGTAGCTTAAATCAAGAACCAAGCCTCTTAATTTAAGTAGATTTCGTTTTGATTAAAGCACAAATCCGATTGAATCAAGAGTAGTTTTTCTTGTCAATGTTGTTAAGAGTCTGGACTAGAGATCCAATGTGGTTTCTTTCCAGTGAAGTGTTTATTGTAAATGAGGGGGGTAAATTCATATTTTAACAAATGCGTCCTTTCAACTCTACTTTTCCATTGCAAGTGACAAAGCTCCTCCGATGTTTCCAGTGCTCCACGCTATCTTCTTCACGATAATCAACACTTTTTACGCCCTCATGGCCGGACCCGCCGACTCACCAGTGCGCTCGGATATTTGTTCGGATGAAGTAATAAACGAACAGAACAGAGCCAACAGCATCATCGACAAGCTCATGATGCGAAGCGAGTCCAAGGAAAGAAAGTCAGGTCGTAGGTCGAAGTGCACGACGAGGTATAAGAGCGAACACGGATTCCGTGACTCATCGGAAGCTTCGACGATCGGCGAGTCGAGGAGGAGAAGGTCACGATCCCTCAGTGAGGTCACCGTCGAACCGGTTCACGGAAAGTCTCGAGGGAGCAAGTCGAGAACCAGGAGGGAGGAATCTCCAACGGAACGGAGGATGGTCGAAGTGTCGAAGGAGTTGGAGGAAGAAGCGCAGAAAAGGTCAAGGTCAACGACGGCTAAGTCTCTGGCACCTGGTGAGACGCGGGACATTTCCCAGGATCGTAACAGAGGTCGCAAGACGGAGAGTAAAATACACGGGGCCTCGGTTTCGTTTGAAAACACGCCTAGGATGAGGTCACCTGACAGGGAGGAAGGACGATCGAGGAGAAGTGTCACAGTCGCACTGGTCAACGAAGCAACGTGTAAGTCCGTCAGCCAAGGCAGGGACCCGAGAAAGAAAGGAGGCAGGTCAACCAGGCAGTCAGCGAACAAGGATGCAAGGAAATCCAGTCAAAGAGGCGAGACACAAAGTCAAGTCAATAATGAAGAGACGGGGGTGATAGTATGTAAGGATGGAGTCACGTCCAGTCAAAGAAACAGGTCAAGGAGTCGAGTTGGTAAGAAAGAGACTAGGTTGACCATCGGAGGAGGCAAGGAGGAAGGAATAGGAAAGTTTGATCCGGGACGAGAGCCTGGGAAAGCAACTCTAGCATCGGAGATAATCAGGACTTATTCACAAGGCTCGGTGGGGCGTTTGGACGCCACCGCGCCTAAAGAAAAGAGTGGCTCGACAGAAATGCTCAAACGGAGACTCAAAGATATGGACCGGCATTTGAACCTCGTGCCCGTCAAATTGCAGAATAAAACCAGCGAGAGAACGATTGCCGGTGCGTTGCTCAAAGCGAAGAGGGCAGCTTTGCGGAAACCTTGGCAGCCTGACTTATCAAGCAGAATGGATGTAGGAGGCGCGAATAAATCAACAGCTGTGGAGTCTTTTAAAATGAAGCTGCAGGCAGCGTTAAGAGACTCGGTTGATAGTATACAGCGATTAGGAAATAGAGACATGCAATGTCGAGAGGCGCCGAAGAACAGAGGAACATGTATGCAGAATCAGATGGCTCCAGAGGGTGGAGGATCATCGATGCAGGATCTGGGGATTTTAGAAAGTACAGGAGCTTGCGCACAGAATCGTGAAGCTGGAGGAACGTCTGCAAGGAATCAGGAAGCTTCAGAGAGACAGAATCGGGAAGCTCTGAAGAGTTTCGTAACATCGATGCAGAACCGGGTTGCGGCCGGCAAATCAAGAAGATCGACAATAGAGCCCCGTAATTTCCCAATCATGCCCGACGTAGATGATATGGATCCAATCACATCAGAGATTGAAGCCCTCAAGTCGAAACTGAAATTAACAATCCAGAGCTCTGAGGATGCCATCACCCGATTAGTAATCGATAGGGCTGCACTGCTGACAGACAAGAACAGATCGCGATGTAGAACTGCGCAACCAGCAAAATCAACAGAACAACCATCGATTTTGAGCACAAAACGCTCTTCATCAGACCCCTCTATGTTAAAGAGCAATTCCAAAAGTAATGGAAGCAATAATGCAACTCGTGACAATCAAATGTTGGATACTGTGCCGAAGACACCGCTAAATAACGCTGAATCGAGTCAAATCTTAACACAAATTTCCAACGCTACACCATCTGCCGACGCTTTATCGAATGGACAAACATCCGATTCTGCTTTGGGTCCGTTGAGGAGTAGAACCGCCGCAGGTAGATCCAGGAGCAAATCGATGAATCCAGATCCATCAATTTTTAGAATATACTCGTTAGTAGATGCAGTGCTAAGTAAACCGAAGCCGGAATTAGATTGCATATTCGACTACAGCCGAAAAAATAGCCGCGGACGTGACAACAAACCAAATGGGAAAGCATCAAAGGAAGCGGAAGAAATTGCGCCCGATAAAGGAGACAAAACTACGACCAGAACAATTTCAACGAAACCATCATCATCGGATACTGAGCCGCGTCTAAATCTATCTAACGCTGAGCCGGGTGCAAGTCGACCGCATGCTATGCCTCGTCGAAGTCGATCTGATGATAAATTACACCCATGTCGGTCTGCCTCATCCAATCCTCCGGAAGGTCCAGCTATTGAAGTTACAGATACAGACGAGGATAGGGAGAAACAGAGGATGAACAAAGCTAAGCGTTGCGCCTCCGTCGCACGAGAAAAGGGAGGAGCTTCCTCGCCCAAGAGGAAAAGAACCTCGTCCGATTCTTCATCACGTCAACCTCGATCAAAGACGAAAACGAATGCGAAAACGTCTACAGATGAAGAAACGAAGATTCGCCGGGACAAACCAAAAGGTAGAGTCTTCAGTTCAGCGGTGAAGAAGAACAAGCCAGTCGCGCGCACCAAAGCAGTGCCAACCACAGCAAGGACCACGAAACCATCGGGCAGAAATTTTCTAGGGATGAAATCGAAAAAAACAAAAGATGCATCTACAGATTCATCGGTTGATAGCATATGGGATTTCACACCCAAAAGGAGCGTAGCCAACATGTCCGGTGGGAGAAGATCAAATGCCCAATTAAAACTTGATTCGTCCAGAGCATCGATGCGTAGAGAAGCAAAAACAGTGGCTCATACTTCGGACAGCGATACAAGTGATGAAAAGTATAGAGTGGCGGCAGGGAGATCTAAAAGCAGAGCCACGATATCAACGGTATCATCGAAGAGTGATTCGGGGACATCAGCAAGTTTGAGGTCAACTTCAGTGAAGTCAGGAGATTCATTCAAATCCACACCATCGGACGATAGTACCCGTAGAACTAATTCCAAGTCCTCAGTAAGACAACGCTCGACGTCATCAAGAGAAACCATAACAGAGACCTCAGACGCATCATACGAAAGGGGGGCGGATTCAACCTCAGCTTTATCAGAAGATTCGTCGATGAAAGGAGGAAACTTTTTCTCGGATGATCAAATGATCGAGTCTCAAACATGCGTGTGCTCAAAACCCTTTACTGTAGAAAAGTGTTCGCAGACAGAGTTGACGGGTTCGCAAATGGAAGTTAAAAAGCCATTCTCGACTTGCAGATCAAGGGATGCTCTGATGGCCTCGACGGATAGAAAGCTCACGCCAAGCAGATCATCGTGTTTGGCTGTAGATAACGTTGTTTCGGAGACATCCAATAAGTTGCTAGACTCAGCTATATGCTTAGCAACACTCATATCGCAGATGAAGCGAATGAATAGGTGTGAAAAAGCTTGTTGCATGCCGTCCAAGTGTAAACCTTCAAGTTCGTCTAGATGCAAGGCCAGGTACCCGCGTAAGTGTTCGCTTAAGTGTCCGTCTAAGAATTCGTCCAAGTGTTCTCGTGACAGTTCGTCAAAATGCCCACCTACGTGTTTGTCTAAGTGCGCAACACGGAAGAAATGTGCGACTGCGCCAGTCAGAGAATCGAAATTGCAAGCGCAATGCAGAAAGGCGAGCGCCTTGAGGTATGAACCTAATCACCAATCAGCGTTCAGTATGATGGATGAAGCAGACTGTGGAACTGCAAAAGCACCGATGGCGTGTCCCGTGAATGTACAGCCACGTAGAACAACAAGTCTGTTCATGCGAGACCCAGCATGTGCTCCCCACGAATGCATTCCCATATCAGAGTATCAACTTCCTCCGTGTCAACTCCCTCCGCGTCAATTCCCGCCGTGTCAACTCCCTCCGCGTCAACTCCAGCCGTGTCAAATCCCACCGTGTCATCCTCCGCCGGGCCAGAGGACGTGGCTACCGCCGAATCAAGTAACTTTCGAACAACAACACGGAACCTTCACCTCTCAGGAGGATAGTTTTCCACTTGATGAAACCAGTTCTTCTGGAAGCTAGCTTGCTCGCAGCACCATGAAAAGCAGTACAGTCAATACGGGGAAACGAAACCCTTTTCATCTGGATGATACGCCAGCACACAATATACGCCCAGCTGAGATTATCTGGAAGGTAAAATTGGTTGGGTTGCGTTTCATACATCTCCTGTAATATTTTTTTTTTTTTAAAATCGATGTTCTGGTGATTTGAAGAAAACATGTACATTTTAAAAAAACGTCATCTAACCAATTTTATCATTTTTCAACTTGTTTCATGTAAATATGCTTTTGTGTTTTTTTTTTTAACGCTGGAAGAGTAAAAAGTATTACTCGCCTTTTAATCTGCCTTAATTAAATCCAAAGGATCGATGAAGCGGCCTTGACTAAAATCAGCGTAATTGCATTTCTCGTTGTCTGATTTTCTTTCATATTTTCGTCTATTACAAAACTTAAGTAAATAATGCGTTTAACATTTCGGTGATTTTTCTTCATATAAGGAACATACTCATATTTCAAGTCTCAGTTCAGCATAGTCTTCTTTTTTCAGAATACAATATCAAAGAAAATCAGCCTACGTGTAATTACCGTGCTGAGGAAAAACGCCGTATGAGTCTACTGATTCTGCCTTTCCCTTGAAAAATCACGGATTTCTAGCGAAATTTTCGAATGTTTTTCGTACAATTTTTCAGAGAATTTTAGTCGCAATTTTATCTAAAATTTCTTTAGATCTAAATAAAAAATATTCATAACTACCCTCAAAAATACAAAATTGGACGCATTTCTGTTAAACGGAACTAAGCGCCAAATTGAGTTCCATTTGAGGATTTTAAAATCTCGAATAGCGCGTTCTGTCAAACGGAACTAAGCGCCATGGAAAAGCATTGCGAGTACAGGACGGAACGAGCATCGCGTTCCGCGACACCCGCCATTCCAAGCCCCCCTCTCCCTTCCTCCCCATATGGCGCTTAGTTCCGTTTGATAGAAATACGTCCAATTAATCGTGAAAAACCTGGCAACATTCGCATGTTCATCCTAAACAGGGCAGTAATGTAGCGAGGCTGATTTAGAGCCTCTCTATGGAGAGAATTAAGACAACGCGACTCATGGATGTCACAAACGGGAATAAAGATTACACAAATCGGACGTTTTTCGTAATCTTTGATCAACCCATTTTCGAATCCCTGTCTCCGTTCCCTCTTTTTTTTATTAGTTCCTTGCCGTACCCCCAATACCCCGGTCCATTCTGGATTATAATCTTTGCAATCGGTGAAAGTGTAATCTTTATTTCCGCTCGTGACATGACACGGAGAAAAAAACTTCGTGCATGGGACCCGAAGTTGAGGTCATATGGATCTCTGAAGTTTTCGGATCACGCATCCGAAAACTTGAGGTCCAGCTGCCGAAGTTCGGGTCAGACATCTGAAGTATTTTGGTATATACCGAAGGGTTCGGGTCGACATCTGAATAACTCGGGTACGTACAAAAGTACTTCAGATGTCTGACCCGAACTTCAGCAGCTGGACTTCAAGTTTTCGGGTGCGTTATCTGAAAACCTGACAATTAGTCCACTCGGTTGCATTACCACAAATATCCCTCATTGTTGGCCGAGAAACCAAAAAAGCCATGCCTGTTTTCCTCTCGATGAGCCTCGGAGAATTTTTTTAAAGAATTACAGACTCTTCTTCTTTTCTAGTTTTGGTACTGAACTTTTTAAATACTCAAAATGTTGTCATAATTTCACCTCGGAATGAGATTCAGACAGGATTTGTTCAGCAAATGTCTAAAAAGCGAAATTGCAGAGTCTTAACGAATTTTGAACGGTGCGTCTGACACCTAGAAATTAAGGCGTTGGGTGCAAGAAAGGGCATTTCTTGGTTGCGGCGTTTCAGAATCTCCTCTGCTGATTTATACTTGAGAGAACTATTCGACGAAGTTTTTGAAATTTTTAGTTTTTAGCGTTGAAAAATCATGAAGAAAATCCAGTACGAGTTCCAAGAAATTCCATGCGTTTGTTTAAAATTTAATGTATGAAACGTCAGCAAAGATCCCGAGACACCGCAATCAAGAAATGTCCTTTCTGCAGAAAGTGTTTCAAGTACAACGACTGAAGCGCGCACCGTGCTCTGCGTGCAATGCGTGAAGTATTCCTGTGACCGCTGCACTGCGTTTGGCGCAATGCGAGAAGTATTCTTCCAGTCTTGCAGGCGCTACTATGCGTGTGACGCTGACCGCACTGTGTTTGCCGCATTTTTCGAGCTCGCCTCAGCATAATTGCGGCATCGAATAATGGGCCTTTAGCTCATGTTGTTTTTCGACGCCGTATGAGCATTCCAACGTTGCCTCATGTCTCCCGATTAAATATTTTTTCCAAGAAAATTTAGGAAAGTTCTCAATGTTCGCATTTTTAGATTGAATGGACCTCCACTCAAGAAGGTACGAACTTAAGCACTCTGATACATGATTCTTGACCAGAATTTCACGTAGAATACGAATCACGCAACGAAAACTATACCGAAATCAACTGAGATACACACGGAAAAAACAAGACTAGTGTTGAGCACTACTGGCCGTTTAGTGGGGAGTAGTTGAGGGCTGGCGTCTAAGCGCTGTACAGCTCAACACCGGAAGGCAGTTCAGGTGGGCACTGAACATCAGTAGTGCCAATCAGATGCCGCGAGACACAGTTGCGCTTAACAGGTGTAAATTCACCCACGAGACGTCGTCGTTGTCGCCATAGCCTGGTGGTAACGCGCTGGTCTTCCGCCGGCGCAATCCGAGTTCGATCCCAGGCGGAAGCGTTTCATATTTTACGCTCGCTCCAAAGTCACTTTAGGGCTTGACACTACTTCTTCCTTAGTGACCCAACCTCGAGCTGTTTAGTGCCCAGCACTACTCTGACTTGGTGGCTCCATTTGACCTAACCCTCGTTAGTGCCCAGCACTAACGTGTAGGTCCCAACCCTAAACTCGTTTTTTCCGTGCACATACACATCATATGGCTGTACATTGGCTACGCGAAATTTAAATTTTCCGGTCACAAAAAAAACAATATCATACGCCAGTCAAATCGTGCACTACAACGGCTTTGGCTGACCACTCAATCGAGCATTGTTTCTTTCCCACCCTGTGTTGTTCAAAGTGCGTCCAGCTCGCCATATATGAGCCAAAGCGTTAAGATTAAGGTCGCCATATTTTCTTATTGCTGAGACTGTCATAGTGACGTTAATCGTGTAATTTAACCCAAGTAAATTATTCTTCCTTCCACGAGAGGAAAGTTTGAATTTACTCCTAAGTAACGTTATTACCACGGCTAGGAGTTAATTTAGGGTTAGGATTTCGATCGCTGGACGGCGAGCGATCGGAATTCTCGTTGCAGCGACGGAATGCAATATGATATCTATTACAAATTGATGTAAAAGGCAACGTCAGTTACGCGATGTTCTATTGTACATTTTCATTGATTCCAAACGAACCAACTGAGTCTATTGTCAAATTTTAATATTAGTGACAGTTGACTTCATCAGGATTGCGTTATTCTAAATCAAAACTCATTTAATGACTTCGTAAAAATAAGTACATACATATTTTCAAGTTTCAAGTTCAACGTCAAAACCGCGCACCGTGCTGTGCGTGCGATGCGTAAAGTATTCCTTTGACCGACTGCACTGCGTTTGGCGCAATGCGAGAAGTATTCTTCCAGTCTTGCAGGCGCTACTAACCGTGTAACACTGACCGCTCTGTGTTTGCATCGAATAATGGGGCTTAAAAAGCCCATATAGTGTTTCGACGCCGTATGAGCATTCCAACGGTGCCTCGTTTCTCCATATAAAATATTTTTTCAGAGAAAATTAAGAAAAGTTATTATCCATGTTCGCTTATTTAGAGTGAATGGACCTGCATTCAAGAGGATACGAACTGAGGCACTCTGATACATGATTCTCAACCAGAATTTCACTTAGAATATGAATCGCACAACAAAAACTACCGAAATCAACTCCTTTGACTGAGGTACACATATATAACTTCAGAGACCCATATGACCTCAACTTCGGGTCACACGCACGAAGTTTTTTTCTCCGTGTATGGTGTATGGAGGCCTTAAATACGGGCACCAATCAGAAATGGATTCGTATTGGCTTTGCTCTCAGGAAAAGGGACTCTAGGCTGATTCTGGAAAATCCGTCCAATTTTTTCGCTTTCCCCAGTCTCAACGGAACAACAAACCCGGTGCCTTAAATCATTCATCTCCCGATATGCAGAACGCTAGTTCTTCAAGATCGACGTTCGCGTAGGGGGAGTCTGGGCGACGGAAAATACACCAAAAGGGGGGAGGGGGTAGGATCGGGGGTCGAATCAAAACAGAATCGAACTGTGAACCCGGGCAGGCTCTAAGTGACATTTGTTGTCACGACTAAGTGCACTTGCACTTCTCGACGGCCGAGCGCGACGAAGTTTTATTCTCTCCGCCGACTCGCGGCGTGGATTTCGTCTTGGGCCGCAGGACTTGAGCGTTTCGCGGTTTTGACACCCCCTCCCCCGTTCGCGAACCACCCCCTTGGCCGCGTCTGTATCGCGTCGGCAGTGTCACTCGATCTTCGTTATTCGGGAGCTGCAGGCCGTTCAGAGAAACAAAGACGCACAAATTCAGCGCAAAATGGAAATCGTAGGATGAAAACAAAAAACGGCGGAAACAAGCTTAATACAAACAAAATAAGAACACACTAAAATACAAAAAACAAATGGGTATACAAGGCTAGAGGAGACATAAAACAACCAGGACGTTTCGGGCCAATTACATGCCCATTCTTAACTGGAACAGAAGCTAAAAAATGTAAATTTTACATTATTTGTAATTTTTGTTTTAATTTTTACATTTTTTAGCTTCTGTTCCAGTTAAGAATGGGCATGTAATTGGCCCGAAACGTCCCGGTTGTTTTATGCCTCCTCTAGCCTTGTATACCCATTCGTTTTTTGTATTTTAAAGTGTTTTAATTGTTGCCTGCATTCGGGCTATTGGGTCTCTCGCTCTCTTATTACAAACAAAATTAAGCAGGACGTTTCTGTCCCTCACGACATCGTTATCAACCGCTAAAAAAGGAACACAAAAATAAAAAAAATACGTTTGTTTTACTTGTTTTATTTTACTCTTTAGCGGTTGATAATGATGTCGTGAGATACCGAAACGTCCTGCGTAATTTTGTGTCTTTTTAGCGTTGATTAAGACAC